TTTTTTACTTTTTTCCACAAATTTGAATTTGATTAATAGTGAAGAAAATCGATGTTGACACTGAAAACTTATAAAGCTGATAATAATTGACAAATGACTGTGGCAAGTTAAATGGAGGGAGACATGCTATTATGACAATTATTAAAACAATTATGATGAATCTGATACCATCACTGTACCATGGTAAAACCACAGTGCTTTACTGTAATGTACATGACATTGGCTATTCTCAAAACATGTTTGACATTCGCACACATAAGTTGGCATCAGATTTACAAAGACAAAAGTAGCATTCATTAACAATGAATTAAATTATTGAAGCAACATCAATAATTAAAACATGAACTCACCCTCATGCATTTCCACTTTCACTGTACACTTTTACTCTCGTGAGATTGTGTTATCTACATTTTCAACGACATCAAGTTAGACCGTCGCAATACGGCTCTGCAACAGATTTCATGAATAAAGCAGCATCTTTTTCCTGGAATAAACTGGGAAAAATCCATTTGAAAGCTCTAAAAGAGCACCAAAATAAACTGTATACGCCGAGACGTTAGCAGAAACTCCTGAGCGACGCGCTTCTGAGAAGCCAGTTCTCATTATGACATTGAGGAGGAAAAAGGCTTGCCTCATGAATATTAATTAATTCCATGACCTAGGCGCAGTATGTGCAACTGATTGGCTGATAGGCGCTAAATCTGCACCATTCAACTGCTGATTAAAACTCATGAATATTAATTAGGTCAGAGTACATTTGTTCCGCCTTGTGTACTGATGCGAGGCGGCACAGAAGCTGCATCTGAAGCTACACATATACGAAGAAAATGTGTATTTACACAGGCTTTTAATGATGCACAAACACATTATAGTTGCAGAAATACATATTTTTTTTACAATATAATATATAACCATAATTTTAAAAAATGGTTTATATTGCAGATATTTAAAATATATAATGTCTTTAATCTTCAATTATAAGTATAAATGTGAAATAATTAAATTATACCTAAAAAATATGAAACTATAAATTAGGAATTAAATATATACAGCAGCATCCAAACTGCTTTAGGCACTAAGTGCTGAGGTAAGTCAGAGCTGCCAGGCTTTGAAGGCAGGACAGAGTCTGCACAGAGCAGTCTTAAGCTGTGTAAAGACGTTTTAGGCCAGTTTGTTAATCATGGTCCAGGAGGGCCACCAGCACTGCACGTTTTGGGTGTCTCTCTTACTGGAAACACATATTTCAGGTCTTGAACCCTCTATTAATGAGCCGATTAGTTATGTTAGATTAGAAGGCATCTGAAATGTACAGTACTCCAGCCAGGACCAGGATTGAGAACCACAGCTCTAGGAAGATTACAAAGATGCATCCACATGACCCAAGTAATATTCACAAGCTAAGTCTTGATAGTAGGATTCGTAATATTGCGGATGGGGTCTGCACAGCTGTTGGAAACAAGGGATTTAAGACTTAACACTGGTCTCTCGGAGGGGTCTGTCCCACCCATGAACGCCTGATAGGCAGTATGGGGACTGAACTGATGAAGCATGTCGCAGAAGCTGATTACATGGATGCTGTAAGGAGGGATATGAATTCTAATAATATCTGATTTCACCGCCTGATCACACAATGCATTGACTGTCAAGGTTTGTCGCACACTACGGCTGTAGTATTAAACTTCGTAAGTTATCCCACAGTGTTTGTGGTATAAACATGAATGATGCCACAAATCATGTGGCTCTAAGAGATCAGATTTATGATCATTGCTCATAATGTTATAGAGGCTTGGAGGTGGGGATAATCTTGGATCCATCTAAACTGGCAAATGTTTACAAATATTTCCCATAATTGTATTTTGAAAAATTCATTATCATTTTCATCCTATGCATATTAAATACATTTTTGTTTAACTGCGCTAAGCCGACACCATTCAACTGTTGATTAATAAAACTTAGTATTAATTATGTCATGTGACTGTTACATCATGTTATGTAGCAGAAGGGAGTCAGCAAAGAAACTGCATCTAAAACTATACATACTGTACACTATAAATCTACATGCAGTTTTTTTTAAATGATGCACATAAACAAATGCATTAAAAGTTGCAAAAATAATGTTAAAAATCAACCCTAGTATAAAAGGCATAATTCACCTAAGAATATAAATTTGCTGAACATTTACTCACTTTTTTAGGGCCATCCGAGATGTAAATAAGTTTGTTTCTTCGTCAGAACAGATTTAGAGGAATTTAGCATTACCTCTCTTGCTCGCCAGTTGGTCCTCTGAATGGGTGCCGTCAGAATGAGAGTCCAAACAGCTGATA